ACAGTCGCGGCCAGATGGCTCTCTGCAATCAGCTGCAGCAAGGAGGGTGCCACATTCCGTGCGTTCATTCATTGGGAAGCTGTCATTCAGGTACTAACTGGATCCCCGCGCCTCTCGGCGTTCATCGACCCAGCGTCACGGTCGAAACCATTGTAGCGTCGATCAGTGCCTCACTTCCTTCCTACGTCTCGTTCCTGCAACAAGCGCCGACGGGGACTACCTACGTCCTCATCGCACCAGGGAGGCAGCTGCCTGTCGTATGCTGCGCTGGCGCGTCATTTACCGGCAGACTCGACCATCATCGCGCTCGATCACCCTGCGTTCCACGGCATCGACTCGGATTGTGGCATCAACGCTCGCCGTGAGATACGTGAAGGACATGCAGCCCACTTGTCGCGATGTCGTGCTTGTAGGCGCCTCGTTCGGTGGACTGGTCGCGACGGCGATGCTGGCCCCATGCAGGAGGCCGGAATCCAAGTGCGGGCGGTGGCCCTGATCGACAGTCCGTTCCCGGGATCCACCCCCGCCGACGTCTTGCTGACTGCGGGCGCGTTTTTGCGCAACGTGTTTGCTCCGGAGACGAGACCTGCGCTCTCCGCCGAGGAGGATACCCCTCGACCTTGTGACGTTCGCGGCTCGACATGGGATTGATCTCCGTGCGCTGGCCGGAACGTATGACAAGAACGTGAAGCGATGGCCGACTGGTGCCGTCCGGATCCCACGCCACTCCTGCGCTGTACGTCGCTGCGGCAGCTGACGAGTCGACGAGCGCTGGCAGGCGGTATATTCTGGTATGTCCATCGCGCGAGTTGAGGCGAACATGCCAGTGCCTGGATCGGGGACAACGCTGCCAAGTTTTCGGGCTGGATCGAAAAGATACTCAGCGCGCACTAAGCCAAATCGAATGTATTGTTAGTTTCAAGTTGTTTCTTGTACACATGTGCTCGTATCCAATGTATATCAACTATCTCACTCTTGTCCTTGCGAGTGCGCTGAGGAACTGTCAGTCAGGACGCGTCTGTGACTCGTTCGCAGATGTGCTTTGCGCTAGGGTGCACCATCTTCTGGTTCTTGACGGGGCTCTCTTCTTGGAGCGATATACTTCCCGATCTCCAAGCGCCAAGAAACGACACGTCCATACATGAGTTGCAGATGGACTCGACGCGGGAGACTTTTACGAGTCTGTATTACTTAGGTGCAGGTAGGCTGACAATTGCAGCTGGTATGCCAGGACCACTTATTGCCTGCTTTTTTCACACATAGTGAGACAAAACATGGACCTCATGGAATTAAACTAATGCAGATCCCATTTCTGGCTGGACAACAAAAGCTTGTCTTTATTGATCTTGCTTTCATACTTACCTGGAAGCTTGTTTTGGCACAGACATCCCTACATTAGGAAAGATAATCAGACTCTTTTCTTTGAATATCAAGTAACTGTTCGAGGACATTTCATAGGACCCAAGCATACAAACGGTAATTTGGTTGGTGGTCTAACCACCCGACTATACAATCCGTCGGGTGTGGATCGATCCTTCTTCCTGTCACCTGACTGGAATATTCCATCACGTCACCTGATAAAATTGGTAAAAGTCCATTCCCGAGACCGATGCAGCTGAGATCATTTAATCAACTGCTAGTCCTGTGATCCTATCTATCATCAACCGATACAATATGAAAATGTCACAAGGATCACACTTGTGACCCAATAACACCTCTGCCATTTCACCATAATTGTGTGTAGTTGATGATATCAAGGATTACTGATCAGCAGTTCATCAACTGATCAACTTGAACTGTTCATCAGGTAAGGGATCACTCACATGAGTCGGTCACATCACAGGAGATAAGATAAGTCAAGACAGTCAGCTGACAAGATGAGGCGTGAAAGGCAGAAAGTGGAAGCCCTGTGGGATCACAAGCAAGAAGGGAGCTGAAATCTGATGAGCCAGTTTATATATGGTAGGTGATGGCTGTGCCTGTCACATGATTAGGAGCATGTTATCTGATACTATCAAAATCTCTGTCCCAGTTTCTCACCCTGGTGAAACTAACTAGTTTTAGCTTAAACAAAAAGTGTGGCATTTGAGATATGGTTTTTTTGGTCAGGGAATTCGAAAATGACGTTGATTTTATCCCTCTCACCAGCCATTGTGGCTGAAAAGACAAATTTCTTTGCAAATGGCTGTATTTCAAGGAATGATTGACCATATCTTGGTACCCAAGACACGTATTGACAGATCTCTTTTGGTGCATGAGCGTGCATATTAGGACACTAGAATATTGCTCATACTGCCACTACAGATCTCCAAACAGCAAACGTTCGGGATTCTTTCTAACGGGCAAATCCAACATTTGCTTGCAGCATGGGAAATATTAGGATCCCTTGGGTCTCTGTTGTATTGAACTCGGCATGGGAAATAGGTCTATTCCACACTTTTAAACATACAAATCCATGGGGTATTGCCTGAGCTCCAGAGGATCCTTGCAAACTTGTCGTGCTTGTTTGGGCCGTGTCTTAGCAATGGCTGATCGGATCGCTTCGGAAATTGTTCCATGCAATTTCTAGGGTCGAGTACCCTACCTCCCTGGGGACTTTCTCTTGGACTCCTCACCATGAGCGAGAGGCGACATTGGCCGGCGAATTTTGGAGGTAAATGTGCACCAAAGGTGGTCGCCGGAGCGGGGATATATTCAGGGACCCCTGGGGGAGGTGTTCATGTAGTTTCCGATATTTCTAATACTAAAGATTGGTCAGTGACCACCTTTTCAATAGGCTTGCAAATGAGTTGCTACTAGCAACTAGGTCTGTCTCGTTGAACTCTCAATGAATGGGATAGCGAAGAAAACAATCGCGGCACGATTTTGCATGCACATCAATGTTACGGCTGTTGCCCACTCCCAAAGTAAATTGCTTCAGACACGCTCACGTGCTATCACGGGATCCTGCGCTTCTCCTGACCATTCGTGAGAGACTCCTGAAAAGCTGGCATTCTGGAAATTTGATTCTGATGTATGTAGTACAAAGACGATCGGTAGTTCAAGCGAACCGAGCACAAATCGCCCAACGTGATTGAGATCAAGCTTGAAATATAAGTCACGTGCGATGGGAGCTAATCAACGCGGCTACTCCGCTCTTGCTCAACTGTGCACCTCGTTCAGTTGACACTCGAGCCTCAAAACTTCCAACTGGAAGCATGGAGAAGGGACTTATCCTACCTCTGATTTCAGGACCCAGTCGGAGCAGCGTGTCATCTGCTTCCGGCATATCTTGGAGGTGAGTACTCATATAGCCGTGGTCGGGACGCGTCATCCTCATTTTGACCCGTTGTTAGACGTGCTATAGCGCTAGCGTGCACCATCGTATGGATCTCAACGGGTCTCTCTTCTTGGGAGCGATATGCTTCCCGATCTACAAGGGCCGATAGAAGAAGCTTTCCGGACCTGTATGACGCGTCCATACATGAGTTGCAGACTGGACTCGACGCGGGAGACTTTACGAGTGTGCATCTCGTGCAGGTGTGTCGAGAATTCAAATCCTTCATGCGCTTCCGCAAAGCCAAACACTCGCCCCCTCCAGGCCTACTTTGCGCGCATCGCCGAAGTCAATCCCACGCTGCACGCCGTGATCGAGACGAACCCGTCTGCGCTGCGACAGGCTGCGGAACTGGACGCGGAAAGACGGCAGAGAGGAAAGAGGGGTTGGATGCATGGGATCCCGGTCCTGCTCAAGGTGTGTCTGGTGGTGCCTCACATGTAGTCCATGTCGCCTATCTCGCTGGCTGGATCCAGGATAACATCGCCACGGTAGCAACTGAAGGTGACTGCCTCCGAGATCGAAACGAAGCCATGCTGAAGATGCTTTGTTGGGATGAACACGACGGCGGGATCGTATAGTCTCCTGATCTGTAGTGCCCGAGGATGCCGGAGTCGTCAAGAGACTGCGGCGAGCAGGAGCCATCATCCTGGTACACGAAAATCACCCTCTGGCATCCTCGTTCGTCGTTGATTCGTTAATCCAGGGAAGAGCAACATGTGCGAGTTCGCACATGCCCGCGGCTATCTTGCTTCTGGCTGGTCGGGACGCGGCGGCCAGGCGACCAGCGCATACTTCCCCAACGGCAGTCCCGGTGGATCATCCGGCGGCTCGGGCATCGCGACTTCGATTGGACTGGCAACGGTGTCGTTGGGAACCGAGACTGACGGGAGCATTACCTATCCGAGCAGCATGAACAACATCGTGGGCGTGAAGCCGACTGTGGGGCTGACGTCTCGTGCTGGCGGTGAGTAGCATCCATGTGCTGGGATGTGGAAAGGTTAACGAGAATCCATCAGTCATCCCGATCTCCCTACACCAGGATACTGTTGGTCCAATGACGCGTTCTGTAGCCGACGCCGCGATTCTCCTGGGCTCTATCGCAGGGATAGATCCCAATGATAACTTCACCCTCGCACAACCGTCCCCGCTACCAGACTACATCCAAGCTCTGGACCAGCACGGGATCCCAGGCAAGCGTATTGGTGTCCCGCGTTCTTTCGTCAACTCCAGTTTGGCTGCCAAATATCCGGTGATCATGTCGCAGTTTCAAGACGCCCTCCATGTGATGCAGACGCTTGGAGCGCAAGTTGTCGATCCCGCCAATGTGCCCACTGCCGAAGAGATCTTGTCGCTGCCGGAGATGGAGCGATCACAGCCAGCCGTCGTCGAATTCAAGGTCTGTATCGTGCACCACTTTGCGTTTACCTGCTAATTCCTCTTTCCAGGTGACCTTGAACGAGTATTACTCCTCACTGATCTCAAACCCCTCCGGGGTGAGAAGCATGGCTGAGTTGATTGAGTTCAACGATGCGCATCCCGAACTCGAGAAACCGGAAGGCTACGAGGGACAAGAGCTGTGAGCAAGTCGTTTGACAGCCCCCAGGTCGTTCCCAACTTCAATTCTAGACTCATTCGGGCCAATCATACCGATGGATATGATAGCGATTATTATGCAGCCAGATCCAAGAACTACCGGCTTGGATATGGAATAGACACCGTGCTGAAGGAGCTCAAACTCGATGCACTAGTCCTTCCACACTTCGTTGCACCTGTCAGTGCCACCCCTGGTGAGTTCTATCTCGATTGCACATGGTCGTTCCTCATGGCTTGTGTCCAGCGATGGCGGGGTATCCGATTGTGACTGGTTCGTCTATGCCACTTATTCCAATGTTTTTCCAGACAGATCGATCGTCTCCAGTTCCTCTAGGATTCTTCCCCGAGTCAAGCGGGTGCGCTTCGCGGCTATCTCCGTGAAACCGAGAGCTTACCCTGGTCATTCGCAGTACTGAGCCGATGGGGCCGGGACAATCTTCCCAGCACCGGGCATGCCTTTTGGCTTGACTTTCTTCGGCACGGCATACTCTGAATTCACCCTGATTCAGCTAGCGTATGCATTTGAGCAAGAAACGCGGGTGCGAAGATTGGGTCCGCGGGGTTATTCGAGTGCTGTTCCCAAGACACAGCTAGATGATATCGTACAGCGAGCTCGAGGCAATCCAGCGTGTTTACATTGAGAAAGTCCTTTGAACAGAAGCTCTAATTAGGATTATAACAAGTCCAGTGCAGAAAGAGGGCAACTAGGGGATACAAATGGTTCAATCTAAGCGAGACACTCGAAACTCGATAGCGAAGGAGGGAGGAAGGATAAAGGAATATTACGAATTACGACGGTCACTGCGAATACATATTATAATGGTTATACACATCCTCGTAAACGGGCTGGTAAGTGGCGTAGTCGGTCGCACCCCAATATTGCGGCGACTGCTGATACCGCGGCTGGCGTGTCTCGTCCACAGTGTATCCTGGCCCCATCACCGCTGTCGAGGGCGACTGGTAGGCCCCCGACGACGCCGAGGCCGAGGCCGACCACCGATTGGGAGCATATGACGTGGGGTAGTGCTCCAGTGCGTAGTGACCCGCGGACGTGTACGCGGCGAACGGACGGAAGTCGTCGAGCGTCTGCGTCGCAGACCGTTTGCGGTGTCGCGGCGCAACAGTCTCGCCCGACATGTCGTGATCGTCGTGCTCGAACTGCACCCCGCGCAGGAGCTCCAGTGCGCGAGCGGCACCGGGCCACACAACCTGCATCTCCCGTAGCGCGTCCATGCACTTCCCCAACCCGATCCGTGCTTGAGGGTTAGCCGGGAAAAGTGTCGCAGAGCTGACGTGCATGATCGCCGCAGTGAAGATGTAGTAGCACAGAAACGCGGCGCAGTGCTTAAGGGTGTATGTTTCAGAATAGAGTCCAGCGATCGTGGTGATGTGGTTGGCGGCACTAGCGCACTGCTCGTAGCTGCGCTCCGCTCGACCCCGAGACTCGGTGTTCTCCGGTGCAGGACTCGGCATCCTCGACCCCGTTTTTCGGATAAATGGCCGATGAAGCAACAGCACAGCACACCAATACTGCATATGCAACGTCAGGACATGCGGTAACGGTGCAGGCCGCGACCCTGGCACATGCTGGAGATGCGAGGGAAGCGAGATTCTCCACTTGTCGAGCTCCGCATCAAGCACAACCAGCTCCGAGTGCCGGCTGCTGGCGGGTTTGAGCGCATAGATGCTCTCGACGACACGCCCAAGAATGTTGAAAGGCGCGCAGACGCACTGAAGCACGAGATGGCATAGCTGGGTCGTGGATCTTGTGGTTTCCACTCTTCGCTCTCCTCGGCTTCCACTGTTTCGTCGGGCAGTGGTGTGTCAAAGTCGCGCTCGAAGATGGCGAGCGGTCGCCCTGTACGTGCCATCAGTACGAACCATAGACGCCTGCACTCGACCACTGACCAATGTACGTGCTCACGTACTTATCCAATACAACACATGCATACCAGATCCGGCGCCGCTCGGATATCTCCGCCGCCGAGAACAGCTTCCCATCCGAATCCTTGACGCCAGCCCGTGCCCACCCGCTGGCATCCCGGTGCATGCCGAGATCCTGCGCCATTCGCACCGCCATGCCGATGTAGATCCACGCCTGCGCCATGGCTCCGATCCCGATCTCCCGGAATCCCATCAACAGCATCGCCTGGCATGTGCTGGCGCGCGACGACGCGTACGAGCCGTCCAGCAATGTCTTTGCGCGGAACAGAAACGAGTCTCCTGCGGGCCACATCTTCGCGTCGTCTTCGCTGAGCGCAGGGTGCGGACCGTGCCGCGCGGCAAGCGAGAACATGGCTAGAAGAAGCAGAGGCGGAACCTTGCCACGCGAGAACGAGTCCAGCAGCGAGATTTTGTGAACGACTGGGAAGCTGGGGTGCACGAACGAGAAGTAACGCCCCAACAGCGTCTCCTGCACCGTGCGAGAAGGTAGTCCGTCCCCGTCGCGCTCAGAATCGGTGTCCCACTCCTCCGGAGCCGCCGGCCATACTCGAGCTTTGGGGAACCGCCTAAGAACGTGCGTTAGTCAATGAACTAGGAACTGAGAAGAAAAAAAGCGGATGTACCATATTCCACCAATGTTGCGCCCATCTTCAGATCCTTCCCGCTCTGCAGGCCGTCGGGCAAGCAGATGAAGCCCGCTGGCTTTCCCATGATACCGAACTTGTTTATCCTCGTTCAGACTGAGTTGGCCTACAGCACCCGCCAGACCCGCCATTTCTTCACTTCGTCGCCGACGGCCCCGGTGAGATTCGTCGCGCTCGGCCCCAACATCGATGTCGAGTTCGGCTTCGCTCTCCGTGTCAGGGGGTGATGGATCTCTGCTGGGGCTGTACAGCGTCTCGTCGATCCGGCGCCGCTGTCGTCTTTCTGTGCTTCCCGGAGCAGTGAGTGGTCGTGCCTCATTCGAGACAGCGGCGCCTGCCGAGACCGGATAGGACCGCGGATCAGGTCCGAATGCTCCGCGTGGCTCAGCTGCTCCAGCTGAAGCGGGATAGGAGGGTCGGGCATAGTCTCCCAAAGCAGTTATGATGGCTGGCAGTTGGTTTGTGCGCTGGTTGGTCGATGAGGCTGACTGGGGATATGCGTATCGGTATGGCGACAGGGTTCCGTTGGGTGTGACAGAGCCGGAGGCCCGTATGGAGGGTGGACGAGAATGGTGCCGCTCTCGGGCTCGGAGAAGGACATGTGAAGTCACGCGATCCATCCATTCATGTGAGGGACTGGTCGTCATGCATACATCGTCAGTCGCGCGGAAACTGGGAAACGAGCGGAATACGCACTGTGTGCTGGAAATCTCGCCGCTGGAGCTCAGACTGGGTGTGGCTGGCCCTGTGCTTCGTGCTCGACCACTCGGACTTCCTCGGCCGGAGCCTCCGCCGTTAAATCCGGTTCCCAAAGTGGCTCTACCACCTGGTCCATAAGCGCTCTGGTCGATTCGCGTGAGAATAGCTCGTGCAAGTGGATCCTGGAAGACGGTCAATGAATTCTATGATCGTTTCGGCGGAAACCACAAGACGCACTTCTGCCATGTCCATCAGCACCGACCGTGCCATGCGGTCAATCTCCTTCCGTGCGCCACCGTTCTCCTCTTCCGACGCGTCTACTAGCCCCGTCGGCTCAGCACGGACACCCGCTGCCGTAAGAAGAATGCCGATGAGCGCCTCGGTTTGATGCAGCCGTGCTTCAATTGCATCGATGTAACCCTTCGGCGGACCGCGTTTGCGACTCGGACCGAGGAATGTGCATGCTGGCGGGAGAGTGCCGTGCGTAAATGACCGAGGATGATTTGAGTTTAGCGCGCGGTAAGGAAAGAGAAGTGAGCAACGCGTCAGCCGAGCTTGCACGTTGAGATCCCGCGCACGCACCTGTTCCCATCAGCGCGCAACTGCGACAAGCCTCGCCCTGAGCGGGTCTTTCACACTTGCACTTGCTTTTGCGGCATTGATCGCATGCTAGAAGAAGAAGAAAGGGAGGGTGGATGCATGAGACCGCGAAGATCCGAGCGAAGGGAGGCGATGTCGGCGTACCTTTGCTGCTCCGCCTCCTCACCACCTTGTCCTTGCCCGTCGGGCCAGATCCTTCTTCATCATCATCATCATGATCGAGTTCGTAGTCGGCAAACGGAAGGGTATATGCGGGTGTTCCCGCAGGCCAGGCCATGGCTGGCGTTGGCTGCGCGCCCGACGCACTTGCACTGCCGCCAGCGCCGAAACGGAATGCGGGCAATGCGAGTCCAGGAGTCTGAGCGCGGGAGGGCGGGTGCGACGCGGTTTCCGGCGGAGAGTGCAGTTGGAACCGGAACGTGGGGGCGATGCTAGAGGACGGTGAGGGTGAGCTTTCTAATTTCACCGCATCGGAGCTGTATGCCATAAGGAGCGCGAAAGAAAAAGAGACTCACCAAGGTCAGCGTTGAAATTATAGGTCTGTGTTTCGGTCACACGTTTCCTGCATTTGTGACTCCTGCGTCAGCTCGCAACATTGTCGATCCGTTGATCGTTTACACCCGCCAACAGCCGTCAACTCTCGGCAAACCCCTCTGTTCCTACTCCACGGCTGAATCCTCCGAATTTGAATTGAGGATCGATCGTGAAAAAATCCTCCGTGTGAATCGTGCATTTGGCCCCTCGCAAGTAACAGGAGTGTGATAAAACTTCCGTTTGCATGAATGCGAGTTGATCCTTGGAGGTGACAACCACGCTGTTGGACCTTAGCGCTGGACCACGAACCAACGTATCTTGGAGATTGGAAGATCGAAGATCTCTGTTCCACACAGAAATGCTTCTGCGCCAAGCGCAAATGGCATTGGCCGGCCAAGCGTCTGCATATTTATGTAAGCACATTATCGATCGACTCGAGACGTCAGCGTTCGGGATTCTGGCCGGAAAAGGATTCGCCGCACGTTGTCCGTTCTGGGACGTGATCGTCGGTTCCGACTGGCCGTTTTCGCGGGCACGTTCTCCTTGATCCCTCGGGCCCCGACAGGCTGGTGACCAATTATCGGCCAGTACCGATCTCGGTTCGCCGCTGCAAGGGCTCTGGCTGGCTCTAGACCGTTCCAGAGCGCATGTGGGTCGGTTGTCCATCGTGCGACATACATGAAATTGCTGTGACAACAACATCATCAGACTCGGACCAATCACTTCCAGAAACTTGCTCTACCGTTGTCATCATATGCAGTAACTTTCAGCTGCTTCAGAGGAGGAGAGTGAGTATTTTGTTCCAAGTTACGAATGTGTCAGAATTTCTGGATCAATGTTCCCTCGTTCAACCTCACCTCCATACTCACGGAACTCCATCCGTGAGGCATGTTAAACCCATTCTGTCGACAATCATCATTGCTTGTTCTCGTCTAGCTTTCCAGCGAAGTCCTTGTCTGGAAAAATATAGACGATAGTCTCCGAGGTATCCCGGCCCTTACACAAGGTTTCTATTATAGCGCCTCTGACTTGGACTATCCAATCTCTCGTGGGTTCTTCGGCTACTTTGAGAGGGAATTGTGATCACCAGTCGTATGGCGCCAAATATCGGACAAGGCTGGCTAGCTAGGACTCTCGAAACGAGAGCATTCTGATCAAAATTGACCGTGCAATAGTTCTACCTGAGAAGGACAGAACTGAGCCACTTACCAGTACAAGAACGTGAATCCCTCGCGCCACAGCAATCCGCAGGTGTTGGAAAGACATATGCCGCTCATTTCTGGCGACCTCGAGTGAACAACGGACGCGACACGTGTCTGCAATGAGACTATGTCGGAAAGTTTATTACTACACGAAAGGGGTCGCTGCAAAAACGATTCGCTTAAGCGTCACTCTAGCGAGCCAGGAAATTGAGACACGAGAGAACAGCATGTTGATGCTCACGGCACAGACCTCCTCTGGCAGTAGTCTGCCGATGGTTGAAAGGTCTTGAAGGGAACCGTGTTGAATTGATTTCGTGATGGCACGTGGCCCTAAATACCGTCTCCCGAGACTTCAAATGTCGCTATTTTGTCCAAGATGAATACTGAGATATTTGGATTATCGATTGGTCAGATACGCAGGTTAAAATTCGTCCTAACATGAAATTTCAACAGTCAAACCGCCACCTATCTGATCATCATCACAAAGGTCACATCTGCAGCCTACGTTGTACCTGTCATCTACAAAGCACATGGTTTTCAAGTTGTTTGACCCTCCATTTCAACACGCCGGATCGGCCCTAACTGCGAGGACTGGGGGACCATGCGGTGCGGCTGTCGGAGAGAAACGGGGAACGGCGACGTCAGAGCCAATGGAATATGGATCAATGGCTGTGGCAGAGCGTTCGTTCAAGATTGCCATGTAAAGGTATCACTGATCTCATGTTCTGTGTCAGAGGTACCCGGAATTTCGACAGAGCCGGAAAGGATAAGACATTGAGTTCAGATCAGAATGGAGAAATCCAGTACAGCACGCATGATCACGTTTTGCTGTGCACCCTCAATGTATGCGGCGGCCGAGTCACTCTTCAGCCCGTTTAAAGAATGCATCCGGTTCATCAGATATCGGCGAAAAGAAGGGAGGAATTGGAAGTATCGTTGAGATTAACAAACGGCGAAACAAGTAACTAGACGAACCCTGCGGTCGTCGATCCCTCGAGTCTCCTGAGATCAGTCGTTGCGGCCCGGAGTTGCACAAAGATGCCACTTTCCGTGGTCCGGCTTGAGGAGCTATTAAACATGTCCAGGAAGTGACAAGTGGATGCGTCTTCCTTCAGAATGTTCCATCTAAGCTTCTCTCAAGTCAAGCTTGGACTAGATGGGTGGCCGAAGTTGGGAGATAATAGATATTAGTCACGTGAGGACAGCGTTTTTAATTTGTGGCCGCGAGTCACTGGTCGAGACCAGGAAGTCAATGAATGGATAAGGAAGATGTTACGAAACGGCCATATGTGCGGGCTTGCCGTACTAGTAAATGAAGAATGGATCGGATGAGAACATTTGGGAGGCCAGACGGATGATTTTTGCACAAAGGAACCATTTACCCGAATTATCCATTCACTCCCGCTGAGACTGATCGATCAAAGTAGAAGATTTCAGCTGAATCGGACGCACGAAGACCATAGTCTGGCATTGAAACTCGCTGAGACCCCGTTCACTCGAGTGATCAAAATCACGGATCAGATCTGCTTTCCGAAACAGTGGAATACGCAACTACGGTCGATCTGAACATCTTCGGTGCACGAAAATCGTTCCGATGTTCTGTTCGCAGATGCGATATTCGCTCGTTCTGTTCTGGCCGTCAGGTGTGTTCGTCTCGCGTAGCGTCAGCCAACCAATGGCAACTGCTGTTGCTGCTGCTGTCCCCGCGGATGAGCGCACGACAACGTGCGGCTTGTCACGATTTGGAAGGAGCTGTGTCTTCTTTTCATTCTGTCAGAGATCGGCGAGGTTTCCACCGGTGACGAGGCCCGCTCGACACGAGATTTCATGTATCGGTGCCATAAGACGATGAGTGCTGCTGTATACGAGCCCTGCTCGCTCGACAGATCAGAAGATGGAGTGTATCGCATGGAAGTGGGATTGCGGCGGGGAGATGCAAGACGGTGACGCTGGGCCGAATGTTGATCGGCGCGTGACAGCCCATCATATTGAGAAACTTCCCCTCCGTCCGGCGCCAGCGCATCTCCGTTCCCAAAGCAGTCGAGTTTTCTCCGATGCAGACCTGAGCAGTGAGCGCCGCTGACTGGGGGCTGCTTCCTGAGCATTCGACGCTTCACAATTGCGTTCTCTCCACATTGTTACCGCCACGTCTGCTGCTCTACTCACGCTGCGCCTCGGACGCTTGAGGCGAGCGTCGAAGGGTGTTGAACTTCAGCTCTCGAATAATGTGTGTCTTTGGAGAGCACAGTAACGCCCATCCTTTCTCGGTGCTCAGAAGATGCTCAGAAAGGCTCAAGCGGAGGCTTGGCATTCAAGTAGTTTGTTGTCTCGCTGTGCTGAGCCTCGGTTGACCTGACGCACTAGACTTTGCCCGCACGCTGAAATGCGATCTCCCCGGTCATGTCTTGTCTAAGTGGATCTGAGAGACAACAGAGCCACTTGGAACGTCTGGCGAAGAGTTGTCCAGGCTCGACTGGCCCTGCTCAGGACTGGTACCTCAGGCGGCAAAGCGAATGCCACTTTGAAGCACATCTCTCGCGTCATTGGAGCTCATTATGAAGAAGTTACAGGCTCAACGAGCTTGGATCAAAGCGCGGAGCCGACACATCAGCGCTTTGGAGGCCCATTCGCAGGACAATGCGCGACGTGATAACTGAAGTGCATTGTTTTTGATGAGCAAGACGAGTCTCTTCCTCTGTCCACTACCATCGCCCTCTCTAGCATGTTCGCCAACCAGCTCCAGTCCTCCTCTTTCTCTCCTGCGCGCACCAGGAAGGCCGAGTGGCCGCTGTGCGCCCTACAATCCGCAGTAGCTACCCAACACAGTCACCGGCCCGAAGATCTGTACAGGCTTCGCTCCCTCCGGCCCAAACCGCGTGCTACCAGTCCAGTTGAGACCCTCGTCGGCCCGCGCAATTTCACGCTTCCGTTCCACTTCTACAATCCACCATCTGCCAAGCGGATCATGGCCGCACTGCGGAACCGGCAGTGCCCCATGTACATACGCGCGGTCATGGCTGGCCCACATGCGATGTACATCGTCTGGGGTGGGCAGCAAGGGATGGAGACGTACAAAGTTATTGTGCGCAGAAAGGTGCTCGCGACTCCGACGCCTGCCTCCGTGCGCAAACCCCGAGGTGCGTAGGCCGAATGCGCGCGGAGAATGCGCCCTCATCTTTCTGTGTAGTCCTCCCGGTGGCCGTCCCGACTGCCGGATCGACTGCTACATCGAAGGTCGCCCCAGCGCTGGCCCTAGCTCAGTCCCGACAAGCCCTCCTCGATCTCGCCGCCAACTCGCGGCCTGCAGTCGACGGCGCTCGACGCAAACACCTGCTGGATACCGATCTCCACCAGCGCATTCGCCCCTTGAAAGTTGGGCCCCCAGGCTCGTTTCAGCATGCAGAAGTCCAGGCGTAGTACGTCTTTGACGCTTATCGTCGAGTTCTCCTGCCTTACTTACCCGCGTGCAGTGTGTGGAAACACAGGCCGTCGGGTCTTTCCAACGTGCTTTACGCAGAGGACACAATCTGTGTCTCGCCGCTCGTGGGCAACCTAGACCCCGCTGCCGAGTGCGTCACCCCCCATTTCACCCCCGCTGTTCCCTTTACCCACGTATTGACGGTTCTAGAGCAGTGACTGCCTCTGGTTCACTGAAGCCGCAAGTTTGGCAGTTTACCAGAGTTCTGAAGCGGTTGTATGATAGCGTCTTCAATCCACAGTACGCCAATGCTCTATTGCCATCTACGGTCCTGGGAGCTAACGATGGCGCCTCTTTGTAGGGATGCTGTACAATCCTCTGAGTCGCATGACATCGTGTCGGAGCGGCCGATGAAGAGGAGGAGATTGAGCTCTTGCTGAGGGACAGCTGGGCCCTCCGAGTAGAAGTACTACGGTTTTCTCCTTTCGGTTTCCCATGCATCGTGTATATTGCAGTCCTAATTCTCGAGATCTTGTCCCGGACTTCTGTATAACTGTAGCTCTCACCGCTGTCTAGACTCATGAAACCTAAGCGGAGCATTGAATTTTCGTGCTCGGATCTTCTATAGCAGGCGGCTCTGAGTACTTGGAATCGAGGGTGAAATCGCTATAAAGTGTGAAAGGGGACCTATCTGAGGTCTGAGATTCTGTAAGCACGAGGCCTAACGCGGCTGCCCGTGTCCGAGGCTTCAGCGCTTGAGCCCGAACAACGTGATTCGGAGGCGGTGGCGGTGCCATAGACGCCCACCTTTCATTAAAACGGTCATTTCCGTTCAGATAACAGGGCAACCAACCTTGTTGTCCCGATCATGTACAGTGGCGCCAGCCTCGAGGCGCAGAATGGTTGCTCCAGGCGCGGCATTCATGTTCTTTGTTCTCCCTTGACGCGCAAAGAGCATTCTGAAATAACGTAAACACGCCGCACGGATGCTTGAAGTACAAAGGCCGCGACTCGACTTCTCTCGCCCCTTGTTACCACTCACCAATGTCCGGCTCCACAATCTGCCCACAGGTCCTTGCAGGCTCCCTCTGCACAGAGCGCTTCTGCACTTTCGCGCACAATCCGCCCAGCTGCGACCTGTGCAATCTCATCTTTCCCACCGCACCGCAGTACACTGAACACGTCGCGACGAAGCAGCACCAGAACCGTCTGTGCGGCGAGTTTGGGTCGACGCTGTATTGTTCTGGATGCGACAAGCACATCTCCGGCACCAAGAACTGGGCTGTTCATGTCCGCGGCGCGCGACACATCAAAAAAGCGGGTGGGAGGCACCTTGAAGCAGAAGAGGGCGGAGAGATGCCAGGACACACACTCTGCACGACGTGCAACTCGCAGATCCCAGACAAGTCTTGGGCGCGGCACCACCTGATGCCGAAGCACCTGGCGAAGACGCAGTTTCTGTCGTTCCGTACGGCCTTGGATGAAGCCGAGAAAGACAAGAACGGGGTGTCGGTCAGTGGGGCCTTTGACTTCGGGATAGTCGAGCCCTCCCTGGCGGGTGCTGGGGTAAGAATGAACGCGACCATCACGAACACCACGCCCTATTCGATTGTGAGCATTGTCAATGCGACGTTCGCCTCTTCGAGGGGAGTTCGGATGTCGACGCCGTGAGTGACTTGTTGCTCGGTGTCCCGTCTAGTTGTGACTTCTATCTAGATTCACACTCGACCTTGCGACTGCTCATCGTTCAATATGCTACAAACAGACGCTGAACTTCACAGTCAGCATGTGTCAGTCCCATAACGGCCGTGCCCAAGATCGACTGGAGTTGGAATTCGAAGATCGGCAGCTCGGACGCCGATTTGTGATAATGCGCACATTGGCTGTGATTGTTGGGGACCGCGATGATCACGAAAACCTGCGACCCAGTGCACCGTACGTTCCGCGCAAACGAACTGCCCGGCAGCCTGAGACGAACGTTGTCGAGGGCGTCGCACCTCCCTCGCTGCGCGTGATTCGCTACGTTGTCGTGCTTCCCGAGTCGCCGATCCCCAAAGCCTTGTCTGCAGCTTTAGCAACTGGAACAGCAAGCAGCATCGTCCAAAACATGCGGACTGTGTTTCTGCCGCCGGTCCTGAATAGTGACGCGTATCCGCGGCACTTCAAGCATCTCATTTGGATAGAGGAGCACCAGATGGAGTGAGTGCGTCGGCCAGGATCCAGGGCAGTGACTGATCATAACCCAGGCGCGATCTTCAGTATTACGATATCACAGAGGCCAAGTTGACGGTGCACCATCCCTATCACTAGTGAGTATTGCCAACCGATTTCCCACAAACTTTAACAACAATCTCCCAGCGTCTCAGTCCCAGGACTGGCGGAGAAGCGCCCCAGTGTTCTCGTCGGTCAGCACGTTCCCCCTTTCATCTCCTCTTCTGATCCATCCCCTAGGCGACCGAATCCTTGTGCAGCAAACAGGTGCTGCGGCTGGCCACTGGTTTGAAGGTGGCGTGCACGTCGTGCGGAAGGAAGAAGTCGGATTGCGGTTCCATTCGTCGTTTGGCAAGGCTTCTCCCCTAGCGCGTTTTACGGTGCGCTTCAAACTGAACCGGCACCCTGTTCGACGTCAGCATCTGGCCCTCGATACGGCCTTCGACGAGGACCGTGTGCTGTTCCCTGAACAAACGCACATGCCTGCTGGACTAGTCCCTTCTAAGCGCATCCAAGTCAAGAATCCGCTGATCGCACACAATCCTCCTCAGCTGCAGGCCGTTGTGTCCATAGTCGAGCGGGCGCCTGGGTCCGTCCCATTCGTCATCTTTGGGCCGTGAGTGTTTGTATCCGGATGCCGCCGTCTAGCTGAGCACTCAGCAGACCCGGAACGGGGAAAACGGTCACCATGGTCGAATCCGTTTTCCAGATCTTGTCTGCGAACCCTCAAGCTCGCGTGCTGGCGATTGCGCCCAGCAACTCTGCCGCAGACCTCATCACAACGCGTCTCATGTCACTGGGGGCGGAGCAGCTGTTTCGGTTCTACGCCCCGTCACGTCACAAAGAAACGGTCCCTCTAGAGCTACGCGCGTTCACCTTCGCCACCGCGAACGGACACTTTGCTGTTCCGGGGCTGGCGAAGATGAAGACGTACAGGGTGGTGGTGACGACCTGTGTCTCTGCGTCTGTCGTTTCAGGGATCGGCATCCCAAGAGGCCATTACTCACACATCTTCTGCGATGAAGCGGGCCAGGCTACCGAACCTGAAGTTATGATCGGTGCGTATACTCGGTTGTCGCTACTAGTCAGCATCTTACATCTACTCTAGCGATCAAAACTATGGCCGACAAGCAGACCAATGTGGTTCTCTCTGGGGATCCGAAGCAACTGGGGCCGATCATCCGGTCTGCGATTGCGAGAGAGCTTGGTCTGGAGAAGAGCTTCATCGAGCGGCTGATGGCTATGGAGATATACGATCAGGTCAGAGGTTACGGCAAGTCGTGAGTGATGTGTTCCTTGGTTTTGGCCTGCGATGGAGGACCCCCTTCCCAGCGTCGTCAAGCTTACGAAGAACTTTCGCTCGCACCCGTCGATCCTCAAGTTTCCGAATGAACGCTTCTATCAAGGGGAACTGGAGGCGTGCGGTAGCCCGTCGGTGGTCAACGCGTATGTGAACTGGGGGCCGCTGCCCAATGGTCAGTTTCCGGTGATCTTCCACGCGATCAGGGGAAAGGATGATCGGGAAGCCTCTTCGCCGTCGTTCTTCAACGTCGATGAGGTCAGCCAGGTCAAGAGCTACGTGGCGATGCTCCGGGATGACCGCCGCGTGCGGATCAGTACGTTGCTGCCGCCCTTCGTGACCTGGCGAGAGACTGAGATGTTCCAGCTGACAACGACATCGGTGTGATCACACCATACCATGCTCAGTGCCTCAAGATCCGCGCGGTGCTGCGTGCATTCGCAGACGGGGTCAAAGTCGGCAGTGTTGAGGAGTTCCAGGGCCAGGAGCGCCAGGTGATCATTGTCTCGACTGTCCGGAGCAGCCGCGAGTTTGTCGAGTACGACTTGCGTCACACACTGGGCTTTGTGGCCAATCCCCGTCGATTCAATGGTGTGTGGGATCTTTTCTGATGACGTGCCCTGACCAGCCACTAGTTGCTGTCACACGAGCCCAAGCGCTGCTCATCGTCATCGGAGACCCTGATGTGCTGGGCCTTGACCCACTTTGGCGGACTTTCCTGAACTACGTGCACGGCAATGGGGGATGGACTGGTCCAGATATCTCTTGGAATCCAGACCAGCCGGTTGACGAGGCCGGGGGCTACGACCAGGCTGTCCGCGAGGCCGCTCTGTTCGATATGACTCAGTTTACGAAGAGGATGGAAGACATGACTGTCGCTGGCGTGAACGCGGACGATGCTGATGAAGATGTAGAGCGGCCATGGCAAGATGTCGAATAGTCCACGATGTCTTCCACGAGGTCGTCTATTCCAGTGTTTGTCTTGATTCACCTGTATGGAAAATCTGATCTTTGTTTGAGTGGGCGGGGAACACATTCTGGAATGGCTAAATAGCAAAATCAGCGAGAAGTCGATCCTGGTCAAGACCCCTGAGTGTCTGCCCGCGGGTGATCCGGATTTGCTATGGCCGTGACAAACTCGGCGAGATCCCCTAAGATCCTCTTGTCGTGTATCCCTGTCTCTCTCTCGACTCATTCATCATCGAAGAACTACTTACTTACTCTCTCCAATTGCCATCTCTCGTGAAACGGTTTTCCCCGATATGAATCCTGAGTATGAAGAGAAGAGTGAGTTGTGACCCTTGTTCCCCTTAACGAGTGTCGAATCCACTGTTTCTTGCAGAGATCGTCGACCTCAGTGACGAGGAGCTTGTCAACCTCGGGTTCATGGGCGAAAGCAAGTCCTTTTGTCATTATACATACCCATCCCTCACTCATTATGTATGGCCCTTCGGAATTGTAGACGTTGCTCCAGAGGTCAAAGACATAGTCGAGCAGGTGAAGGCTGATCCCACAAATCTAGGCAGTAAGTCCCTCCATCTTCTTTTGCGCACATTTCATTTCCCACTTACTGACCCCTTCCTCAATTTACAGGTGTCACCTGTTTCATGGTCGACTTGGTCAGACGCAGACACGAGGCTGCTGAGCCCTCCATCCCTCCTCCCTCTGGCACCCTCACCAATGCCGAGATTCACTCAGAGCTTATTGACGGCTCAGATCCTCACGCCATCGTTGCCCCCGACCTAATCTCCAAATTCGAAATGCGCTTTTATTACCACGGTCTCTCTGGGGATCCTCCCCATCTCATGTGGCGCTCTGATTTCGAGACCAACCCCTTCCCCACTCACCAACCTGGAAGCCACTTCTTTACGATCCCCACTAAAACTGCCCATGGCGTCTTCAACACGCCTCTCAATGGCGTGTGGGATGTCGCTCTTCCTCGGATTATACAATCATTGAAGGAGCATCACCTCCGGTGGTCTGCGATCCATAAGGTTCGCTTCTCGATCGAGGATAGCGAGGGTGAAACCCTTGGTCCTGTTGTAGTGTGGATCGCAGTTCATCCCAACACCACCACCGCAGGGGCCGTTCGTGATGCCACACCAGACATCCTCAAGATCCTCGCTGACTACCAGATCACCGATGTCGTTGTTGAGTGGTACGAGGGCGCTGGCGCCAGACTGGTTGACTCCGTCCGGTCATGAGTGTTGCAGACAACACTAGTGCCCAGTTCAGCCACAATCGTCCCCTGACGCGCTGGATTGTCGACATCTTACTCAGGTGTGTTTAGTTCTCTTGCCCGCTTCTCGATATATGCAGCTTAGAACTCTTTCTTGCTAGTCTCTGTACATAAACTTGTTACCTCGCCCGCCCGTGTCATATGATTGATTTTCTCGTATTGACTACCACGACTGTTCCCTTCCCACTCTATGACTCCTGCTTTGTATCAAGACTCACAGAAATAAATGAAGTTCCCATCCTTCCTTCAAGAGCAGATTTAGCGGAAATTCAGACATGGATGATTATGCGATCAAAGCATATGACGCGTCTCAGCGCGTTCGCTCGTGTCTACTACCACCATGTCCTTTTCCGAAAACTCTCCAGCACAATTCTGCGGCATCCCCCTTGAGTCAGATCCGACTATCTTCACAGACCTGATGCACGCTCTCTGCGGGGTGCGATCCCACCTGCTGACCTGCGTCGATCTGCTCTCCCTTGACCCAGACGATCTCGTTCCTGGCGGTCCCTTGGCTCTGCCAGGCAAGTTGCGCGGAATCATTCTGGTGTACAATACCAACCCCGCGTACGAATCCTCGATCGACTACGAGCGGGAGAAAGCGCGAGATGCGGGGCGAGGGTATGCTGGTCGAGGGTCCGACGAGCCGATGTTGTGGGTCGAGCAGATCGTCCCCCACGCATGCGGGTTCTTCGCACTGATGCACATCGTTTCAAACTTGAGTCGATTGGGTGTAGATTCGCCGTATATAGGTTCGTTCGTGACTTCTCGTCCTTCTGGTGGAGTGTCCGCACACAGGTCATTGCTGGCTGACCACTGGTATAAGACCCAGATTCGCCCATGGGAAAGTTCATCGCCTCTGCGCTCCCCATGTCGCCTCCCGACCGGGCTTCGTTCCTCGAGTCCTTCTCACCCATCGCAGCGCTGTACAACGACTGTGCGCCCCTCGGTACCAGTCAAGTGTTGCATGCCGACGATGTCGTTCCCGGGCACTACGCTGCGTTTATCCCTTCGCAACTGGATGGCCACATTTATGAGATGGACGGCGGCAAAAACGGGCCAGTGGATCACGATGAATGGCTGGATGGGGAGCGAGATATATTGATTGGTGGAACGCGTGTCGTGAAGGAGATAGTGAAGAATCATCTGGATCCTGAAAACGCGCACTTTCATGCTCTCGCTGTCGTCGAAATGGAATCGCGCAGGGAACAGTGAATTACGTTGTCCAAGTTTAGGATAGGGACAGCCGAAATGAAAGTATCTCGGATGGTGCGAGCAGAAAAAACTGATTCGACCCGGGCTCGAACCGGAGACCTCCCGTGAAACACAGTCCTCAACTGCGGGAATCCGAATGTGAGACGGACGTGATAACCAACTACACCATCGAACCGATGGGCAGTTTCGGTGCAACTGTATCATGATTTTTTCATATGCCGTGAAGTGTCTATTTGTCCTTTTTCTCAGAAGCACTGTCAACGGTCAGAGAGTCTAGTTTGAATCAGCGAGACAGAATTGAGGGCAGATGAGCTCATCCTTGGATTCCTTTCTGTTCATAGGCTGGATTGCCATATCCTGCGTGAGGAAGGGAGTAACGTCACACATCAGGGGATACGCTGGGTTACGGTCATTCTACCACTAAACACTGACTCGGAGGTGAAACGGCACTCAGACGGGCCGCTCCCACTTGTCTGGTCTTGAGTCTAATCGCGTCTGACTTCAAATCTCACTGAATCCTGCGTGCTCCTGTCGCCAAAATACTGCATGTTGGCCGCGCCCTTGGACTGTCGACCAAATTCGAATTGGAACAACCTAACAGCGTCGTTGGCGTCATGATGGCTTCCCAAGTCTTTCAGCTGGCATGTGTTCGCGCGCATAATTGCTCTCGGTATCGCTCTTGAACTCCCCCCAGTGATGCCAGACGAAATAGCGATGGGCTGTTTGGTGCACACTCATTGCCTAAGACTCGACACCTCGTACTGGAAGGGAACCGCGGTCAAATAGTCGGAATGCGGGATGGCGGGTGGTCTCGTTATCGCTTTCGACTGTTGGTGTGTCGCTCGGACCCTGGGGAATCATCGGACTACTCTCCTGTGTCGCCCACGGAGCAGATTCCCTACTGAGATCTGGGGATGTGCTAGCATCTCTGTTCGCTACGGAATCGAACGGGATGGAGAGGTACCAACGGGAAGGCTGCCAAGGCCCAATCATGCAGTGCTGCATCGAGATAGCTCTGGATGAAAGTGCTTCATGAACTCGCGGCGAAGACCTCTGTGCCAACCAACAGGTCATGGTTAAACTTGAGTCTCTACGGTGCGCGCAGTCCTTGAAGCTCACATATCTTCGCTCGTCGCTGATAGCGAAAACAAGAGCCTTGGATCATGCACCCATCAGCCTATATCGGGAGGACAATGGTTTTCCAGGCTTGATTGCGCACATCCGGTGCTGTAACGTGACTCCAGTGGATACGCCCGCGCTCGCATTGTCGGGGTTAGGCGTGTCCTTTGCCTCTGCATCTCACCACCGCCCAAGTCATACACATGTCTTCCGGTAAGTAAAGCTCTGTGCAACACCTACTGCGATGCGCTGACATTCCTTTGAAGTTCCACTGGCCTTCGGTACCCAGCCGCGGCAGCCTTTGATCGAAAGTTGCTACAAAGTCCGGACGGCACCGCCCAAGAAACTGCAGAACAGTCTGTTAAAGAGTATCTCGCGACGTATACAGATCATCCCAACCGAATTCGACTTCCTACCATCGTCGGAGCTGGCTCATTCGTTCATTGAGCTTTACAGCATGCGTCAGTCATCGTGGGAGGCGTCGTTCGAGCCACACGGATCCATGTACCGGTTGGTTTTACGCAAGAAAAGGGATGCGCGTGTGCTCGTCCCAGTGAGACAAGGTGCGCGTCTGATCTTCTTTCGATCTTGTTCTGAACATCCTTCCTCGCAGCGCGCCCAGTTGTGAGGACGAAGAACAGTACGTGCCGACATGCTCGTGGAAGCTGTATCGCCTGACACATTGCGTGAAGATCGAACCAAGACACTAAAGGAATTGCGCCGGGACCTCCTGGCTCTAAAGGCTCCGGGCCACGGGAACCAACCCGCCGTCTGGGGTATCCGCCGCACTCATCTGAAGTACCTGAAGCACCATCGCATAACTGCACGTCTTCCCAATGTACCAACTAGGTTCTTCCGGTACAACGGCATCGAGAACTAGTGTGTCGCGAATGTTTGACTGTGAAGTCAGACTAACCGACCAACTCCAGCGTGTGGAATCGGAAGCCCTCTCCTCTCTCAAGGCCGCTCTTGATCGAAGTGGACGACGACATTCCTCTGGCGCAATCTCCCAGCGAGATCAACTCTCCGACTGAATTGACGCCAACGATGACCGAGCCATCCCCAGTTGAGAAATGCTCGTGAGTGCTCGCGTTATGCCCTATAGTCTACTCTGACATCCGTCCCAGACCTCAGCTAGAGGCTCGGCCTCGTCGTGCACGGAAGAAACCGAATCAAAGGAAGGAGGATGTCAGTCAGCGGTAGGTCTGCCATCTTCGTCGAAAAACGCTCAGATTTATGATAGTTGTCTTCCGCAGGGAGTATCTTGAAAGGAAATGCAAAAGTCGGAGAGTTTAGATTCGTCATGGAGGCGTATCTTAGCATTCTCCTCGAATGGACATCTCCGCATAGGGCAATCGACACCCATGTCCAGTACCTACGTTCTTACTTGACGGAGCAGTTGATTCAGAGCATTGACCTCACGATAAGTGTGCGCATGATGCAGTGAGTGTCCATAGTGCACCTTGCATGTTCGTACGCTGCAGGGTTACGAGCAAAACTGGTCTCTGCTGTTCATGTGATCAAGGCTTGCGCAGCTTCTAGAGGTGTAGCACGCGGTAGCTATGCATATGGAGGTCTACACGACTAAGGTGATTACGTGAAGATAACAAAATGAATCGTCCGCTAGCGAAGCTCTACACGCGGAGAGCCGATGCTCCTCAACAGGATCGAACTGTTGACCTCCAGATTTAATGACAAGCGTCACACATAGATGAATGTGAGACTGGCGCTCTAACCAGCTGAGCCAGAGAAGCGACGGGCCGTGGATTCCGCAATCAGATAGATTCTTGTGATTTCCAATCATGACGGATATACCCAGCGCGCAGAGAATCCGTTTCAATGTCCATGTGAGAAGGACGGCGATCGTGTTCTGCCTTGACCCAATGCCGATGATACGTAGATTTCGTCCGGGTTTGGGTTTGGGTTCTTGAAGAGTATCATTCTCGTGTCTCTCGCCGTGGGCAAATTTAAACTTAGAAAGCGAGAATACGATTCGAAACTGGATATGTATGTAGACAAAACCGCCGCGCACTAGCTGGACAGCAAACCCGCGAACAAGGAGACAAGTAGTAGTTAAGATCTCCGGATTTGAATGCAAGATAGATATTCGCCCCCGTTCCCCTCGCACCACCCATTGATCGAGGTGGAGTAGTGAATAAGAGGGCGGTTATGAGAGTGAGAATGAAAAGGGAAAGAAGAGAGAACGAGAAGAACCTTAAATCACACAGGAAACAGAACGAGCACGGTGAACATCATAGGACTACTGATACAATCATGCACGGAGCTGGTTGCGCAAGTTGGTCTCGAGAGGGCCCTTGGGCCTGATGAACTGTACGTAGGCACCATCCCTACATGAGGTGTCAGCGCATTACCCCGTGCGAATGAAAGAATGGCCACATACTGCAACACCTTCTTCTCCTCCTTCAGCTTAATGTAGTCCGCCTTGTTGACATTCGTGAATCCCCACTTCTTGGAGACGATGATCTTTTGGCGGCCGGGGAACTTGTACCGGGCACGGCGCAGCGCCTCCATGACGATGGGCGCGTTGGCCTCCTTACACCGGATGGAGAGGAGGACCTGGCCAATGTTCACTCGTGCGACACTGCCGTAGGGCTTTCCCCAGGCACCACGCATGCCCTGTTGCAGCCGATCGGCACCGGCGCAAGACAACATCTTGTTGATTCGGATGACGTGGAAGGGGTGGACACGGACACGCAGGTGGAAAGAGTCTTTGCCGGACGTCTTGGTCACGTACTAGAGGGCCCAGAATTGAGTCAACAAAGGTGGGTGAGACCGAGGCCAGCGTACCTTGTTGGCGCAAATACGAGCGGCTTCGAGAGCCTCCGAACTCAATTGCTCGTACTCATCAGAGACAAGATGGCAGCAGAAGGGGAACTCGTCGACAGAGGCACGCTTGCGTCCAAGATCGAAGATACGAATCTGCGAGCACAAAGGATTTAGAATTCGCAAGGGAAGGGCTGAAGAGACACCCACCTTGGGATCGGGGACACCACGGTTGTACCGACTCTTGGGGTACGGCTTGTTCTTGCAGTAGCGGTAGCAGCGAGCGGGACGGCGACCCATGATAGTTTCTGAGAAGAGAAAGTTTTGTCAGCACAGCACAAGGGATGAAAAAGGCCCCTCGAGCGCAAAATTGCCCGCGACGCAACGCCTGATATGCTCGATTGGAGTAGCAGGACGGATCGTCGGGGAAGGCGGGATGAAACAAGATTGCAGGGCAAACTCACATTTCGGGGAGGTGAAAGTAGGGGATCGGTCTGTGGACGGCTTTTTTAAGCGGCGTGATGAGTAAGGCAGTTTTGATGAGTAAGCCATCTCCGGCGGGCGGAGTCAGTACTTGCTGACGGTGCCGATGAAGTGATCCGTGTCATGTGATTGAGCATTGCTATGACGCCACGCGTCTGACATCCGCTTCATTATCGTCGCTGACGGGGCAACTACTACGTGGCTGTACCTGTGACTGTCTACGAGTGTTATAGATACAACTGATCTTGAATCAAATCGTACCAGTTCATACGAGACCGTCACAGAACGCCACAGGATATCTTGTCGGGTGTTTCCCCCATTCTGTGAAAGTGAAGCAGGGACGTATAGTTTGAGATAAAATTTCGCCGATACGTGATATAATGAATATGATTCCCATGTCCTCTTCTTTGCATACATTGGTAGAGCCTCCCGGTCAATATCGTCAACTGATACCTATCGGCTCCCGTGGCATTAATCCAAAGTCTCTCAGGTCGCCATCGCGCGCCATCGGGCGGGAAGCGACATTTTAAGAAGGGCACACATTCGAAACCATAAGCGTATGATGTTCTTGACTAAATTTTCGTGAATTCATGACCCCGAAAGAGCTCTGGTAAATGGCCTTGCGTTCACGGACTCCAAGGAACCAAATTTCTTGCAGGCTCACTTTCGAAACAGGGAGTCATGGGAGAAGCCACATGGTCTGCATCATAGCTTATTACAACTGGTATCTAGTCGAGGATGTTCGAAACCACTTTCATGATCGCGTTCGTAAAAAGAGAGCATCTTGTCTACGATACTGTAACGAGGAATTATTTGTCAATCAGCTACCGAAAGGTTGAGTAGATGCACTCAAAAACTCACCTTGAGACTGGTAGATCTTTTTTTCATGGTGAGAAATTCAGTAACCCTGAGATCTGGGAAGCGACCGTGAATACGACGAGTTGAATTTATCTGCGTAAGCAGCCGCATCTCTTCTCGAGGATCGCTCTGTTGTCCCATTTGAGCTCCTTGTATCTGGTGGGATATGCGGTCGCCGTCCGCAAAAAGTCGATATGTCATCAGAGCATCTGCAAAAAGGGCTTCGAGCATCTTTTAGTTGCTCATTGGACGTAGCCTGCTCCCCGCAGCGCTGGGAACATGTCGACCTCTGCGTAGCAATGTATACAGAATCAAACAGCACCGGCCTTCTGAGTGGTGTTCACATCAGCTGTCAGTCCCGGCCAAATGAACTTACGAAGTATGTATAAGGTTCCTTTTCAGAACGTATTGAGACGAGGGAGTGTTTGCGACTGACATCATCCGTAGTGCTTTTCTGCGCCGTAGATCATTAGCATTGAAGGCACCACGTTCGGAAAACCTACTTCCGCAAGAAAGTCAAAGATGTCTCTGTCCCTCTCCTGCAATTGTGTCCCTGAATCCTTACACTGCTGTCTGGTATTGGGCGTGAGAGCTCGAAAATGCTCGCCAAGCGCGCCTTTTCGAATTCCTCTCATGAAGCAAGCAGCTCTTTGCATGACCTGTCCGGAAAATCTTCAACAGCCGCCTTTTCTACTACTCGTGTACTCTGCGACTCCACCTCCTCGGTTTTCCGCACGAGTAAACACATTTAGCGGTTCATACTGGAAAGACCCTTGACAGACTAAAGCTACTGGCATTTCGACCTCTCGAGCTCCAGAAATGTTTCTATTCGTCTCTGAGAGTCCCCTGGCCATGAAGATATCCTAAACACTAGCTCTGAGTCCTGATCAATACTCCAAACCTCTTCGATGTCCATCTGGCAAGAGCCCCTATGAGTAGGACAGTCATGACCTCGTAGACGGATGGAGTCGAGTTTCATGATTTGTTTCGGGTGGTTTGGAATGAGATGGCTGAAAATTTGAATGCCGTCGAATATGGAGGGCGACGTTCAATTCGGATGAAAATCAACTGATATGACGAGGAGTGTTTCGGTTGATCGGATCACAGCCTCGGACGGGACGGACACAAACAACTGGCCTTTCCTGTTCCTTCAGCTGTTCCTTCAGCGAGCCACACATTTCCAGGCTTCGATTGGCCTCGTTCTCGTTCACACTTCATGCTTTCTTCTCAGCAAGATGCTCCGCTAGTCCTCTAATTTGGCCGCGCCGATTTTCCTCAGTAACTCGTGTGCGGCATTGTCAGGAAGTACCCCCACATGCGACTGAGACCGAGGAATCTCACAGCTTGGAAGTCGAGGACCGAATGCAGCACACTAAATAGTGTCGTGAAAGCTTGCATCTAATGAAGTCTTCTTGGTCGCGGGTGAATCCAGGGGTCTGAGTCAATGCATGGCCAGGCGGGCTTGGTAGCTTGGGGACGATCTGGCTGACTGATTCTTTCCTTCACGTCTCTCTCACGCCGCGAACATTCTGAAGGAATCGGAATGTGTGACTCGACTCATACTTCACTGCTACAGAGCTCCGTTCGGTTCAGCCAGTCCTATTGTACCCGCAAGTCCTACTGTATCCGAAAAGCACATTGGCAATGAATGGTGGAGCCAAGTCGTCACGCAAGATTCAAGGCTCATGGGGAGTCACTCACAAGCTGATGAGTGTTGTTCGATAGAAGTGCGCAGTGTAGACTTCCACGTGTGCGATCTACCGTCTTGGCGCATCAGGACTGTGCGGGTGTATGCCCAAAGCAGCACCCATCTGGTTCTGCAACGCATATCGTTTTTGAGCTATCGAAATGTCTGCTTGTGTGAGAAGAGATGTATTTTGCACGAAAGCTGGAGGGACATAGTCGAAAAAAAAACTTGAGCCAAAAGTTATGAGCACCACCTCTCCGATCCTCACTCGCCCTTGACCACTGACGCAAATTCGCCCGTCTCTACCATTTCTTGGACAATATCGAGCCCGCCCACAAGTTCCCCGGCCACGATAAGCTGAGGGAATGTCGGCCAGTCGTTGAGGCGTTTGAGGCCTGCATGCCACGCTTAGGTCCAGCCCAGAGACAAGCACAGCGATAACGACAACCCACTCACCTTGTCGCACCCCGTCGTCACTCAGGATGTCGAAATGCGCAAACTCGACACCTTGATCCCGGAGGAGGGCAGAGATCTTGCGGCTAAACCCGCACCGGGGGTCGTCCGGGGTGCCCTTCATGAACAGCACCACACGGCTCTGCGTCATCAACGCTCGCAGACGCACATCCAGCTCTTCCTTGGACTCCTCCTTCTTCTTCTCTGCGCCGTCGTCTGCGGTCACCGACGCCGGATCGAGATGCGTCGCTATCGCCTTTGTCAGCGCCGCCCCATCCGCCCCGCTGATCCGCCCAAGAAGCGTGTGCCCGCGAAGAACGACGAACGCAGGTACTGCTTCGATTTCAAACGACTCGGCGATGTCCGCCTGTTCCTCGGCCTCGACTTCCAGCACGAGCAACGTGGGGTACTTGGCCGCCAGGGAGGTAACGACGGGTCTGATCTGCTCGCAAGGGGCAGCCCATGGTGCCCAGAAGAAGATCAGCGATACACGAGCAAGATCTGCGGACAACGCCTCTTGGAATTGTGCTGGGGATGCGATCGGGATGAGGTTCGGCGAGGTCATCGTGGATAGGAAGAAAAGCGTAATCGCAGGGAAATCAGATAAGATGAGATCAGACATCGGGCAGATTGGTCAGACTCTCAAGCACACTTTACTCAACGTTTTTACGAATCCACTTCGTTGTTCGGTGGCCTTGTGACCGACTGACTACTCTTATGTTATTTCTAGACACGGGATACCCCGACTCTTCCCGATGATGCATGTATCCCCTGCTCTTCAGAACACGGCAAAAGTCAGGACGAGCCGACTGGGGACAACACCAATGACCCGCCGCAGAACCCAATCATATCCTGCGCTGCCTCCTCAGCTAGTTGATGTCAAGTCGATCTTCTCTCCGCTTTCGCCGTTCGAGACTCGGAACGAAATATCCCGTCCCAGTCTTCCCTCACCATGGGATTACGCATTCCGTTGCCACATATGTCCCTGCGATTCTTACTGTCCACCGTCAGCCGGATCCACGCAGGGGTGATACCACCCGACACGCCATCGCTCGCTGGAATTCTGCACAATCCCACATGACCGCCGTTCTCGGAAGAGGGAGCCGATACCAGTCAGGCTGCTTTCTTCGTCCTTCGATCGAAGTGTTTCTCATCAACAACATCACCCTCGTGCTCATCCCCGTTTACAAAGTCATCGCTCTTCGGCACGCAGTGCATATCGGGCCGTCATGATCATCCATCCCTTGCCGGGACTGAACGACATTATAGCATCCATCCCCTTGATCGTTAACGGATCCTACGAACTATTGTCGTGCGGTGCATCAAACGTTCACACTGTCCCCACGCCTGACACTAGAAAAGCCGACAATCCCCGCCGCCAAGTCGCATGTGTAATGGCCCCAGCATGGAAATGTGCGGCGTCGTCAGGGACATCCATCTGCCCGCAATGTTTCATGACCCAAACCCATATGTACAGAGATGCGTCAAAGGAATGTATTCTCAACAGAAAGAGGAGAGACAACGTAATGTAATCATAATATAAACACACGAAAGAGACAGGCCATCCACCCCAAGGGATCCAATATGTATGAAAGGCGCATGGCAACAAGTAGTAATGCAAAAGAACAAGGAAGAGATCCGGAGGTCGTAGAAAGTGTCGAGCAATTATACGTATGTAGGGGTAAGTAACAGAAACAGAACCATTCTATAGCAGTCCGCACTCCCGCAGGTGGAGCTGCAGCAGAATGTCCTGGATCGCACTCAACACAACTAGACAAGCAATCAGTCACCAGTCAATCTCAGGACATGACACCAGACACATACACTTGATCTGCTGTGTATCTGTCGCACAGGTATAATGGGCATAGATCTGCTTCGTTGCGGCGCTCTGGTTGAGCGACACGAATCGGTGCAGGAGGTATTCACATGCGGCATCGTAGTTGTCGCCACCTTGGTAGTCGGGGAAGTAGTCGCCCTGCACGCTACACGTCAGACACGTTACCCACGGCACATACTGGCACAACGGCTCACCAGAGGACTGCGCGGCAGCTTTTCGGCGAAGAGATCGATCTTGTTCAGGAACAAGATGATGCTAGTCTTCACAAACCATCTTGAGTTGCAGATGGAGTCAAACAGCGTTAACGCTTCTTGCATACGGTTCTAGCACGGAGTTAGATTGTAGCAAGCCAGGAAGCGAAAGGAAGAAACACGTACGACACTCTCATCCTCATAGAGCATCTGGTCGTACTCGCTCAGGGATACCAAGAACACCAGCGCCGTCACGTTCTCGAAGCAATGTATCCACTTCTTCCGCTCGGAACGCTGTCCACCAACGTCGAACAACCTGTACGTCAACTCGCCGACCTAGATGCGAAGCACTTAGGCTTCCATTCAAAAAGTCAAAAACTGCCATCAATACCTTGAAGGTAGTCTCAGTGATACCCGTCGTCTTGACACGGGAACGGAGGATGTCCTGGTCAGTGGGCAGGTAGTCCGGCGTCGACATCCGGTCGATAGCGTTGAAGTAATACACAGCGCTGTCGTTCAGCTGGAACTCCCGGGATCGTCGAACCGCCTCCTTCACGCCTGGGTCTAGACGTGATAGATGATTATTAAGATTAGTCACGCTCTCAAGGCAACGGGACGTACCGCGCCATAACCCCCGAATCGCATCCGCCAGATCTCGCGGAAGGGAGTCAGCCTCAATTTGAGGCGGCAGGGCAAGAATGGTGGCACGGCGAGCATCGTTCTGGGGGGCAAGCGAAATGTCCAGCTGGGGCATGGCCTCGAGGATGGCGCTACATGACGCCTGTCAGATACTTTGCCCCCCAAGGTGAGAAGCGACCACGGCGCACCGCATGCTCTGAATCGTGTTGGAGAAAATGATCTCCTTGTACGCATCACGCTCTTGCGCGTTGTAGCCATCATAATAGATAAGCTTCATCTGTTTCAGCACCGTCGATTTGCCGGACTCTCCAGCACCGAGGAGAAGCATCTTGATTTCGTTCTTGGCGAGCATCCGGTCCCGCTTGAGTTGGTTCTCAATTTCATCGTTGCCTAGGATGCGGTGAGAAAGGGGTCGCGCAGTTAGGTGAGGAGAGGGAGGGATCCAGACGGACGTGAGTGAGTTTCGAGCACTCAAGAGGAACGGGTGGAGCGAGTGGGGGGAAAGCACAAGCACGAATGAATGCAAGACACTCACGAGCCTTCGCCTCCTCATCAACGCCAGCACTTTGAACGCAGCCCATTGCAGAATCTGATACGGGAGCAGAGAATAGGGATAGGTAAGTGGTGGTAGATGCCTGAAACGAGCGGCAGGTGAAGCAGTAGCCGGCTGAGGGCGGGCTAGTGACGGCGGAGGAGGGAGGAGGGGGAGGGAAAAGACGAAGGCGTGATGGAGATGAGGGTTCTTTCTCCTCTTATGTCAGCTATTTGCCCCTGTTGATTTTGGAAATCGGCTGAGACGGCTGGACGCCCCTTTCGGCCCCCGCCGCCCCCTGAGCTCGACGCGAGGCGTCGGGTGCAAATGACTTTTTTGATTGTTTCTATTGATCAGCGCTCCTGTAGAGGGACGACTGTGAGCCGTAATAGATATTGAAGGACGCGGAGGACAGCGATCGAGGCGTTCGACAATTTTACAAGTAGGGAACACCGAACGCAAAGCCGGAGATCGTGGGGGCTCTAAGAAGGAGACATGTATATGGAAGGTCTCGGCGTTGTCCAGAAGGATCACAACCCAGCAAGAGCAAGAATGAGAGCACTAGACGCGGCCTTTACGAGAATGTCTCGAGAACTGCATCATAGCTGTCCCTGTTGCTAATAAGCGCCTGCTGCCAGTAAGCGCCATCATCCGACATGGACAGACTCCCAGCCTCGGATTGAAGTAGATGGAACTAGTTATGGTACAGTGAATCTTCAAGCCAATTTCGTCTCTGCAAGCTTCTCCACGACGTCGTCGTTGTGGTGATGCATGATGGACGCATTCTCCATGATCTCTTTCTCTGACTCCTCCTTGTACTGCCGGACATTGTCAGACAGCTCTTGGGCCTCCTTGTCCAGATGGGTGGCACCCGCAAGCGCCGTCATGCGTTTAACCGCTCGGATGCTGAATGCCGCCTTCCTCCAAGCACGCTTCGCGTCGAATGCTTTCTTCACGTAGGGAAGCAAGTCCGTCGGCCCGCCTGAAGCTGTCGACACAAAGTGTCTCCCCTTCAACCAAGGGTGCTCAAGAGCCTCGGCAGCAGTGGGCCGCGCGTCGGGATCGATCGTAAGGCACGCCCGCACGAAGTCCCGAGCCGTGTCAGACACGTTCGACCAGTATTCTTCCGGCTCGAATTTGTAATTGCCATGGATGATCGCCTCCATCTCGGCTTGAGGCGAGTCCTGGTCGAATGGCGTATAGCCGGCCAGCAGGAAGTAAGTCACGACGCCCATCGCCCAAACGTCCACCGGTTTCCCATGTCCGGCTAATCGGCATCAGCGACGAGCTAGCCGATTCCTACGGGAGCACATACTCTTCAAGAATATTTCTGGAGCCATATATCCCGGGGTCCCGCATACTTCCGTAAGCTTGCTCAGCTTGTCGTCCGCCA